TTGCCCATTTCAGCCCAGATTTTCCAGCAGAGGACCTTTCAAGGTACTTTGTGCATGGCTGGTCCTCATCCACTGATATACTACCACCACAACTTCTCAACTGCTTCTCCAAGGATGCCTAATCATAGCCAATGCACCACAACCCAAATCTTGATAACCAGTCCCCTCCACCCCTGGAGAATTAAATGCACCTCTGGCGCTTCTCCCTTCTGGTGCACTTTTGGTGCGTGCCCGATGGCAAGAAACACAGCGGGCTTTGGCAGCAGCCTTCAGATAGCGCAGGGTGGAAGATGAAGAGAGTGGCTGAAATGTGCTATTCCTATTTCCTGCATCTGTTACCTACTTTTCCAGTGAGAAACAAGCATCAACACACACACACCTTCCATTGGTTTAAAGTAAATGTTAATGTTTGACTGTGTTTCATTCTTTGGTTCAGCTCTGATGAACTTTGTGTTTTCTGCCCATGGAAGAATGTGTCTGTGTCTCTCGTTGGAAAGGTAGATTTCAGTTTGCTGCTGGCTTACTTTAAAATGATTCCCAACTCCCCCTTTTTTTTCCTTCCTGACTTCCTTTTTGTCAAAGTTCAGCAGCTGTGCTCTTAAAAAAAAGAAAAGAAAAAATCTGGTATAATCCCCTTCCCCCAAGTGTTGAATGTTTTCCTGATCTGACCCTTTTCAGGCACCACATTGTATAGAAGCCAGTTGAAGTGTCCCATCTAGCCTACATCTGAATGCTGAAAAGGGGGCAAATAATTTCAAAAGAGGCTATCTCACTCATCACCACCACTACTCCTTACTTAGAACAGGACCAAGTGATTTGTTTGTGTTGCACATCAATCTCCACCTTTTCTTGCAAAAGAGCTTGAAAATGGCAAGAAGCAGAATTCATCTGTAATCTGACTGCATAATCCCAACATTGCCCCTTGAGGAATAAGTGACTGCTCCACGTACTGAAAAAGAAGCTCTGCTGGTTATATTAAGGCAGCAATATCTCGTTTGTTAGTTGGGGTGGGGAAATTGCCAACCACATTAAAGTCTAATGGATTACATCCAGTGGTGGGTTTCAAAAATTGTTTGAACCTACTCTGTGGGTGTGGCCTCCTTTGTGGGAGTGGCTTGCCGCCCATGTGACCGGATATGAAGAT